TGTGTAGGGCTAGGAATCTGGACTTCCTTCCTTTTCCCGTGTTCTGTTTTCTGTCATTATGTTATGACCCTTCAACCTATGGCAAATAGCATGCCCCCAAGAAAATGGGGAGAAAGGGGAATCAGAGGAGGTGCCTTGAGGAAAAATGGACATTTTTTCAAACCCTCGCAGTTTACAAAGCTCTGGACTTAAGACACTAGACAAAAAAAATATTCTCATGCAACGGGGTCTTGTGGTAGAATGTTTTACGTTTGTCTTCGTGATATTCTTCTTGGTCAGTGAAACTAGAGGTTTAGGATAATAAAAAAAAAATCTGATCAGATTTTTTTCTCTGACCAGAATATGATTGACATCTAGAAACTATTCTTCTCCCTTCTTTCTTTAAGTTTAGTTTCAGAAGAGGTCATGGTAATCCTAAAGTGTAGTCTACTGTTCACAAGTGAATTAAGGATGAGCAGATGTCATCCCTGCCTATGTTGCGCTATTATGCTGCCTGTAATATATTTTATCTATATAATAGAAGATAAGTAACAATTTATACTATGTGTTTTTTCCACTTCTCTTCTGAGATATCCACTAGGTATACTTGTTTTAAATTCTTGCTGATGGACAATAGCTCATTTTGTGCTGACAAAGTTTTATACACTTATTACATCAAAATGTCAGAAAATGGAAAATTATAAAACCACAGCCCCGCCCCCCCATCCTACCCTACCTGCAGGTAGCTGAAGAGTTGTCTTACAGCAAGAGATAAAAAAGAATGCATTTTATTCTTTAGTGGTTGGTCCTCTTTGGAGTTGGAGTAGAGGGAGTAGGAGGAAGGAAAGTTACAGTGAAAACTGGTTTAGGGGAGAAAAACAAAAACAAAAAAAAAAAGCTTTTCTTATATAATTCCCCTATCCTCAGTTTTATGCTGTTGCCATTCAGTTGGCTTCCCTAGGTCAAGCAAATTATCTTAATATTGTTTTTTCTGGGAACAACTGAAGTAAAATGCAAATATCTAGAGTACAGAGTCTACAAATATTAAGCCTTTTGAAGACAGAGGATAATTCGCATCTGTGAAGGTGATGCGCTTTTGTGATCTATCAGTGATATTATCAAAGGTTAGTATAGGCGAATACTTTTTACTGACTTGTAGAAGAACAGAATCTAGCTTTTTTTTTTTGAGATTGCAAATTTTGTTTAATTTTAGAAATGGCAGAACATTTTTAAAAGTAGCTATAAGCCCTAAACTTTAAATTTATTTTATTTGATTTTCTAATGTGTTTCCTACATCACAGCTTTTGCATGGAGGTTAGCTTTTACTTTTTAATACACTTGTTCTGTTTCTTTTTCTTTCAAAATGTATCTTTTGATCGTTGATTTGTTCATGCGCAAAACCTTGATTCCAACTCACTCGTACTATGGATGACTGCATAAATTTTCTTACTGTTTCTCATTGCTGCACTAATAATACATTTTATTTCTATTTTGGTTTCCAAGTAGAAGTTGAAGCACGGCTTAATTATTATGATAGTTTCTATTATTATTAACTTTCAAAGGAAAAAAAATCACCTTAACTTACATTATATACCAGGTGTAATAACTTCAAATAAATATTCAATGGGAGATCAAAATAATGATGGAGAAAAATTTTAGCTGAAAAGTTAAAAAGTGTTGATGTGTGTTCAGTATTAGGAAATCCTGAACTAAAGACAGAATTCAGTTTTTGTTTTGCGTTATGATAATGTTTTGAAGACAGATATTTGGGTAGGCAGCAATTTTCAAGTAAGCCTTCCTCAAGAATCTATTCCTTAGTAATATTTCTAAGGGAAGCAAGAAAAAAACTAAAGTATATGTAGGAAATAGGAGAGCTAGTAACTATTCTAAGGGCTCTACCAGTAGTCATGCATGCATTTTAAAATTTTCATTATAAGTACAATTTTGGGGAGATAACTTTGTTAATATACAATCTGGAGGTACATCTTGGAAAAAAATCAATGGTGGGGAAAAATAAGCAAATAATTCAAAACAAAGCCACATTTAGTTTCCCATCCTAAATTGAAGCCAGGTATACATAACTTAATAGAGCTGTCATTGTCTTCAAAGTAAGAAATATTGCATCAAACTGCAGCATAAAACCTGCTCAGCAAGAGTCTTTCTTCAGCAATATGTTTCTTTCTTCTTAAACAGATATAAAAGACAAATGAAATATGGCAGCTGTATTAAGTTAAAGTTTTATGAGATGCATGTCTTAGAGCTTTTCTTCCATGAAATTTGGTATTATGTATATTTCATTCCCTTTTCTCATACAAATAAAACATTCTTTCTCATTTCTCATTTAAAAATCAATATCGTTAAAAAGAAATGTAATCAAGCCTTCAGTAAACATCTGTAAAGCTCTTAATCTTCACAAAGATCCAAGTTGCAGACTTAAGTGTAGAAACACCATACAGAAAAATAATCACTACTTTTATCACTTTAAGGCCCATTTTTCACTTTTATCCATTTTTTTTTTAAGTACTTGTAGTGTTCATTTCCACAAGGGTGGACTTCATGCTTATGCATATAGCTCTATTATGATCATTGTATAATGTCAGCTCTTTACAGATATTCTGCCGAAAAACCTACTCATTTTTTCCCAGCACACAGGCAACTCTGGAACTATGCCTATCAGGTCTGGTGTACTTTGCTGCTCTGGGATCTAGCAGCACCTGTTGGGTGCCTCTCTAGTCTGCAAAATGATGTGGTGCGGGTATGCATCCTTCCTCCCCAGTCCTGTCCTTTATGTGGAGAAGAAACTCAACTTGCTGGCCAAGAGGATGCTTAACAAATCCCTCTTTGTACGACTGGGAAACCAAAATCAAGTGAGATGAAGATTTTATTCTTCCTGAATACTGTATCAAGGAACTGCTACCCTGTACATAGCTTTTGGTTCCTCAGAAAATGTTTTGAGAAGCTGAAAGAGTTCAGCAAAGTTCAAAAAGAGTGGTAAGAATTCCAGCAGACCTCTTGAGTTGTGAGAAGTGTGATAAGCTCATTTAATGGTCTGTAACCGAGGCAAGGCTAAGAGTTGCTCTGTGAGAGTATGAAGACCTTAGTGTGAGATTTCTGAGGGCAGATAGTTTTTCAGATTTGCAGAAAAAAAGATTAAGTGACATTTTGTGGGTGGAAATTGAAACTAAACAAGCTCAAACGAAATATAAATTCAGAGATTAGGCAGCCTCTTTAAGTCAGTACTTGCAAAGGACCATTTTAGTGCTTTTAGATATTATGGACTGGAAATACAAGTTGTTTGGTTATACCTTCTGCTGCAATGTGAAATGGTATGGTCAGAGTGAAAGACTTTCTTGCCTTACTACTCTGAATACAGTTTCCACTGTTGAAACTACACCTGGGACTTCATATCCTTTTGCTCTTTTTCTTTGGGATATTTACAGAAAACCTGAGTTAAATAAGGACTGTGATACTATTTGTTTTTATAATTGAATTTTAGAATTTCAGCAGCAGACATTTTTCAGAATCCTTTTTTTGCAGATGTGGCTTTCAGTATTCCAAATGTATTTTTTGTGTTTTAATAAACATCACAGCACTTAAGAGTATTATTCAGAGTCAGTCATCTTGAAATGTCATCAGCCACTACCATATTCAGTGCAGCCCCGTATGGTTTCCCATGACAAACCTTTTTTGGTTTTGTTTTTCTTCCCCCTTACAGGAGGAGGAAAAAAAAAAAAGGATGAATACACTGAAATTTTTGAAGAAAGAAGCTTTCTTAAGGCTTTTTATAGACGTGTTATAACATCAAGGGGCTAAGTCATAACATCTCTATTCTACCATTTTCAGTTTACCTGAGTGAACTTAAAGAGTAAGAGAACGCAGTCTGGAAATTATTTTAGAAAGAAGGAAGGAAGGTCAAATGGTGCAGCACTAATTCTGGACCTTGGAGGTCTAGGTTCAGTTTCTTTCTTTGCACCGTGGACTTTCAGTGGGATCCCTAACAGTTTGTTCATCTTCCTTAGCTACCCAAAAGTGTATTCCAGTATTCCAGATCTAATGTGTGCTCAAGAAATGTTTTAGCTCTGTGAATGTCCACCATTTCCCATGTATTTCCTTTCCTTTGGTGCTCTCGTGGTGCATGACATGCAAGTGCTGGTCGGGTTGCCTGGCTCATCAGGAATGCGGGAGATACAGTGGAGCAGAGCAGAAATAGTACATCAACTACATCTGTTCCTAAGGCTCTTGCTGTTGCCCCATAGGGCTGTTGTGAGTCTCCCTGTGGTTTTGAACTACTCCAGCGGAGTTATACTACCTTAATATTTTAATATGTATTTGTATTGATCAGCAAATTACAGTACGGTTTCAGGCCATCCCCCTATTAACAGCATATATGAATGTTAGTTGTCTTACTAGCATTGTTTCACATCTCAAAGAGAAAACTGGACTTGCAAAAGCCATCCTAGGTGTATTTTCATTAGATTCCTAATTTCATTAGATTCATTAGATTCATTCATCTCATAGATTCATAATTAACTTTGTTAGAATAAAGGCAGTACAAAAAAAGTTACAACCATCTTAATACCATATTGCCAAAATATCCTCAGCATATCAATTCCATTTTTATTGTAGTTGGTGTTGTCTGATACTCAAATATGTATTCTTCATTCTCTCATTAAAAGCTAAATGTTGCATTTTTAACAGTATCACTCATAGATTATTGTCGAATGTACAAATGGAATCTGTTTTCAACACTGTGATTTCAGTATTTATTCTTAAATGCTAATTGAAGCTGTTGTGAACATACCATATTCTGAGCTGTTTGGTCAGCATTTTTGTGGACTATCTTTCTGCCTTCATCTAGAAATAGGGTGATGGTTGTCATTTTAGGCTGGTCCTGTTTCTGCCCTGTTTCTTGAGCATGTCAAGGTATTCAGAGGGAGGAAAAACTAACTTTCTCGCTTCTGAAATTTAAAATGAGTTCCAAATGTTTTTGAAATAATTTTTAAATCTTTTCTTCTCTTTAGAACATACAAAGGATGTCCTTGTGATTTATGAACAAGAAGCAGAAGAGTGGGCTCTGTATTTAAAATCTCTCTTCAGACACATACTGAATGAAGAAGGAATCTTACTGTATAGTCTTGACACTTCATCTGTCAAGCACCTGGAATTATTTTCTTTATCCTGTTATAAATGTAAACTACTGATACTATCCTGTGGACTTCTTAAAAGTCTGAATCAAAAAAGAGGTTATTTTCTTGAGCAAATTCTCAAACCTCCAGATGATGTGGTGATTTTGCTTTGTGGAGTGGAGAATTCAGACGTTCTTTATGACATACTGACTCTAGATGGAGGCAGCAAAGAAATCTCTACTGATCAAGAACCTGAGGAATATCTCTCTATTGTTACTGGAATTATTCAATCAGGTAAGCTAAATCCCATTACTTTTATTAAGGTAGTGTTGTAGCTGTATCAGTATCCTTTGAAAACATGGTTGTGGGGCAAAGTAGTATTTAATCTTCTAAAAAATTATCACTTTTTAGCCTGGTCCAGCAGTTTGTTTTCTTGGTGATGCATTTGTCATTGAGGTTTGATATTGTTCTGTTCTTAGTCCACCTTCAGTTTCAGAGGGAAGCAGCTTTTGAAAGTCTAAAAGCTATTACTGGTGTACATGTCAACTTACCATCATTCTGTCATGGTGAGATTGAAGAGACGATATACACTTATTTCTCTTTTTCCTGAGTTCAGAAATCTCAGAAACTGTACAAAAAAATCTGGGTTTATATTTCATCTATTTCTAAATGCTTTAATATGACAATGACTAACTAAAATTGACTGCATGAAAAGTAATTACTGAGTAAACGCCAGTTTTCTGGGTGGTACCATTTCCAGTGTGTCACACAGACTGTAGAAGCAGAAGTATCCTTACTGTTCTGCAAACTCAAGTAAGAAATTGTTCCAGAAGATTCGTATTTGTGTATATTTGCAAAGTCATGGAAGCAGCAAAAAAACATTGAAAAAAAAAAACTAGCACTTCCTGAAATGGAAGAAAAAGTGCTTTTTTTTGTTGTTTCCCCCCCCCCTCTCCCCTCGCTGATGGAGGGAGGTATTGAAGTAGCAAAGAGGTCTTGTGCTAGTCTGTACACGTACTTAGGCTTAATCTGCAAGTATTTTGCTGAGCTGCACAAATAAAACTGAAAAGTAGTAAGACAGCCGTCTTGGCCACTTTGGGGAGACAACCTTTGAGAGCATATTTATTGTTGCTTTTTTGTGGTCTCTAGGTCTTTTGCTGCTCTCAGCTTCTGCACTTGGTATGCTGTGCAGAACATTGTGGTTCTGTCTTGGGTAATCTGCAAGGTGCCACCCTGCTGGCACAGGAGCTTGATTTTGAGAAGGGTATCCTGTAGCTCAGGAGTTTTACTCTGAGATGAACCTGTTTCTGGAAACATAATGGATTCAAATGAACAAGAAAGGATATTCGGTTGAGCATGTGGGCAGAGACCCCAGTTGACTCGCAGTGAGCTGATTGGATGGCACACTGCCTTGAGCTTGAGCAAATAAGCTTAAGCAGTCTATATTGCTTTCAAATGTGCCCTGAGTATCTCTGTACACATGTCATGACTAAATAGTCTGGCTAGTTCAGATCTGTGCTGGCAAAACTAAGTGTTAAACTCCCCCTTCCCAAGAGTCTTTTCTTTTTAACATTTTGGGCTAATAGCTGTTTATTAACCTTTTTGTCAGTATATGCTTTTCTTATGAATAGCTCCCAAAACCTAAACTGTGAGGGTTTAAGGTGCTCACTTTTTCAGGAGGTAATGGTTGCACTTTTTGACAGTGCCTGATATTTAGCTTCAGGGAAAAATTCCTGAGCAGTTTTTCAGTGGAATAAAATCAATGGTCTGTAGAGTGTGTGCGTACATGCACATACGTGTATAGAAGGAACTAGACCCAGATACTGTCAGTTGACTCATGCACAGGAAATTGCAAACCTCTCTAGAAAGATAAATATTTTCCTAGAAGAAAGATAATGGTTTGCCACTTTGGCCTGCACATTCACAAAATATTTACTGCATCTGCCTTCAGGATTTCGCTATAGAATGTGATGTCAAGCAACCAACAGGTGTTTAAATGACCTTTGTCTTTGACGGTGGTCTGTATAAGCAGTTTCAGAGACAAATGTAAAAATTAATGAGTAGATGTCAAAGACTTCAGTTTCAACGTACACATCTTTGCAAGGCATAGACCGTAGCTGTGAGGAATCGAGTTCAGGTTTGGGGACAGAGAGTAATGTTGCTGCCTCATGCTTGGTGTTGTAAACCCTCCTCCATGCAGTCAGCTGAGATAAGCCTTTTTTTTTTTTTTTTTCCCCCCTGCACTGGTACCCTGGCTGTCAGGTAGCCCAGCTCAGCCTGAATGTTTTGCCAAGTTCAACTAGCAAGCACTGTAAATATTCACAGTACAAATTAGCTGTTATTTGGGTGTTGATTTAAGATTTGAGGAATAAGGGTGCATGTATCTTATTGTTTATCTCTGTTTGAAGGTAATGATTAGTTTGCAATATCAGTATTTTTGTTAGTCTTTTGTAGAGTTTTATTAAGTTTTTTGCTTTTGTGTTATCTTTGGCAGGGCTTTTGACAGGTTATGCTTTTGGGAAAGCATGTTTTTCCTTTGAGTTTAAAATGCCTTGCTAAGGCTGTATTAAGTACACTTGACTTCTGTGGCATTATTTCTGTATGCCTTCAGGACTACGTACTCACAGAATTTCTCATGTCTTTTCATATAGGTGAACGTTTTGTGTGCTTATCTGTTGCTGATATTTCTCCTTTTGGGTATAATGATCAAAACAATAATGTGTATGTTTTTCATTTTTTTTTCTTTCCTTCTTTTCATAAACATTATTTATTACTGCTTTTTTTCTACGTACTCACAGAATTTCTCATGTCTTTTCATATAGGTGAACGTTTTGTGTGCTTATCTGTTGCTGATATTTCTCCTTTTGGGTATAATGATCAAAACAATAATGTGTATGTTTTTCATTTTTTTTCTTTCCTTCTTTTCATAAACATTATTTATTACTGCTTTTTTTTCCCCCAAACTTTTGTAACTTCATGTCTCCTCAGTATTAACAAAGAGCTGTCACCGTACAAATGTCAGAATTTGTAGTGAAGTGATAGGCTTTAATTATAGTAATTAGCTGGCAACTTACTGTTATTGTCCACCACAGCTAAATCCACTGAATCCCGTAGGACATGAGGTCCCCAGGGTGCTGAGTATGATTCATTCCAGGGAGCAAGAACAGAATGGAATTCCTTAGAACAGTGAAAGATGGGTAGTAATTCAGGTCACTATCTGAGTCTGAGATATTTACAGTCTGAGATAAGAGATATAGAGTAACCTATTAGAATTTAATTAAACCCCTTGTTCTTATGCATCATTTGTCTTTAATTATCCAAGTGTATCCTTTTTTTTCCTCATCCCCTTAAGAACTTGGCCTCTTTAGTACACAGGATAAATAGTACTCAGTTAATTAGCAATTACATGATACATTTTGTGTTCAAGTTTGTGATTACGTTATTTTTGTATTGAATGCCATTCAAATCCTGTTGAGAGCTATTCATTTTCTGATGTGCTTTTCTATATAATTCATTTCTGCAGTATTCAAGCGCTATCCAAATTGTAGTTGATTTAATCACCATTTTATGTATTAATGTTTAGCAAGATTAAGGTGAGTTGTTTTTATTACTCATAACACCACTTGGAAGCACGACTTTTCATAACACTTACCAGTGTGTGTAGCACACCTTATGTCCATGTCCAAACTCCTGTTAATTCTAATTGCAGTTGTGAATGGTCAGGTGTGTGCAAATCAGCTGCAAAGTTGTAAAATGCTCGTTCATGGAGAGTACAAGACACAGCTAATCAGCACTTCTTAAAAGCATGTTTTAAAAGGCTTGCCTGCATTTTGCCTAGAAACCCCAGGGTGGGAACAAGGAATGACTTAAATTCTCCAGAGCAGCAGTCAGCAGCATGATTTATGTTGTTGAAATCTTCCTAAGAGCAAACTAAAGATTCTCAGAAACATTCAGGTAGGATAGTGATGGTCACTATCATCAAGGCTGATGTCCATTTAGAGTTATTTCCAAGGAGATACCCATTAAAGAATTATACTTTTTTTTTTTTTTTCCTCCCATAGGAAAACCACAGAAAAAAAGCCTGGAAGACTCTCTATCTTATGTATATGAAGCAGTTCTTGCAGATGGTGAGTTTGAATTCCCCTTGCATTTACTAGAATAAACCCAGTAGTCTTCAGAAAATTAATTTTATTCTCTTATATTTCATCAGACATTAAAGGCAAGAAACTAACCTTACCTTAGCTATGTAGAGGAACATGCCTTGTTCTCAAACATCCACCCACACATCTACAACCCACATGTTCTTGTGAGGAGTGTGAAAATGGGAAGAGCTCTGACAGGGACATTTCCCTTTCCTTGAATTTCAGAGCACAGAAAAGGGAAGACATGGAAAGCTTTCCTTTTCTGTTCCTAATAGATTTGTGGTAGAAAGGAGGCTGATCTGAGATTTCAGGTAGAAAAATGCTGCTTGCATTATTACATTGCAGTGTCACTCAGACACAGCCATAGTTTGGCTGGGAAAGGCTCTCCATCCAGACTTCAGATCCTGTTGGTATTTGTCATTCTGGTTTATTTACATTTGTGAAAGCCCCTGAAGAGTCACACTGGGGGAGAGCAGAGGGTAAAATCTCCATTTGCTTTTAGTACAGAGCCCCATAACATGTAGTATATCCTTAGCACTAACTAAAAGAACTGTTAGACACCTTTGAGGTCTGTTGCACCAGACTGATTCCTGACTGATTGTAAGGAAGTGGTCAGCATTTCTTCTGTAGTGGTGCAGCACCATAGAACAATCCTAGAATGATCCAATTACCACAGAAAGCTTTTTCAGAGGAGAAGTACACAAGTGAAATGGTTTCCAAGATTCATTGAGTCTCTTTTTTTAGAAGCAAAGAAAGGTAAGATAGTAAGATGAACCAGTGTTTGTACCTTTTGGGAAAATAGGTGAAACTTTAACCTAAAAAAATGGATTTGACTTTAGATGAATTTTGAATGTGTTTTGAAAAGTGCTTCCAGTCACTCCTCCTATCAAATAAAAGGAGAGTATAAACAGTCTTAAACTGCATATATGGAACAAAGCAGAAGTGCCAGTAACACCAGAGAAATTATAAACCAAGGAAGAATATTTTGCTAGAACCCAGTAAGCTCACAAAAGAGTAGCCTTTTAAGTAAGGCAGCTGACATTCTGAAAGTCTGTTTTGGGTGTACAGAGGTTGCCTTAAAGAAGGGAGAAGCTGATAGAAGATAGAATTTCAACTTTAACTGGAATGAAAATTGAACAAAAGTGTAAAGCCTACATGAGAAGTACAAAGGAACAGGGCGGAAAGAGCAGCAAGAGCATGACAAGACAAATGGAAAAAATATATACGTATCCAAAACTGTCAAGATAGATGGTGAATGAGCAAACATGCACTTCATTAAGAAGTGATTGATTAAAGTAAATTGTGCAAGATATTGAGTGAAAGGGTCAGAGAGTACTTTGGAAAAAAAGAACAACAATATGATCCCTGACACCCTTTCGGGAAATATTAGTTACAAGCAGATGTGAAAACAATTGATTTGCTCGCACTTGTGAGTGATGGAAGAGATCCAGTTGTGGAACACTGATCACCATAATGTGAATGTATAAGGTCTCATTCTTGTAGCTGATAACTATACAAGTCAGTTCCTTCAGCTACTCACAAATGTTTTTATGCATTTGCTTTATTCCAAGTTTATTTTTATATAAGGTAAGTAGACTTATTTTATTATTACAAGAAAACTGTATTTTAAGGAAAATACCTCAGGAAATACCCTGCTCCCACAAGATTCATTATTTAAAATTTGTAGTAAGGTAGGAGATGTGAAACAATCTGACTAGTATCTGGGTATACAGCTTTGCAGCCTTATAAATGCATAGCTAAAAATATGAATGCCTTGTTGTTGAATTAGCTTTCATTATTTTACTTGCAAACTACATCTAACCTCAAATTAAAATACCCATTAGGTATCATCAGATAAGCTGTTTCTATTCTGTAGCAGAGCTTTGTCTTTTTTAGCATTTACCATTAGGGCTTGTATCCTAGATCAGCTTTCATTATTTTACTTGCAAACTACATCTAACCTCAAATTAAAATACCCATTAGGTATCATCAGATAAGCTGTTTCTATTCTGTAGCAGAGCTTTGTCTTTTTTAGCATTTACCATTAGGGCTTGTATCCTAGATCTAATTAACAATCAATTAGGAGCAGGCAACCTGGATACAACAAGATTATGTTAATATATAGTAGCTTTCTGCCTGTTAACAGCAGACATGCTCTGGCCCTGCTCAGAGGTCTTGTGACCTCTTAGCTTATGCATACATACTGTGTTACCTGTTTCCTGCCCCATTCTGAACTGGATAAAGGCCAGCATACTGGAATGAAGTAGATAGCATCATTTCTGGAAATAAAGAGCAGCTAAGGGAGGACCTTTGATGTGCGGTTCTTTTTTTATAACACTATCTATAATCCTATTTTATTAAAACTTGCCTATTCTTGCGTCTAGTTGTTTGATTAAAGGACAATATCTTAAAAGATAAAGACCTAAGGTTACTTTCATGTCCATAACATTAAAAAATGAAAATAATCAAGTTCTGGAAACTAAGCACAGTTTTCAGATGTAACTGAAAATAGTAGTCTTTATTGCATTCTTGAGAAAATGGTGTGCCTTTTAGTCTGTCCTAAAGGTCAATAGATTTTAGCTATTTCAAACCAAAGGTGGGAGTAAATTGCCAAGCAGACTGTCCTCTAGTGAGTCAGCCTTGCTGACGACTCACTCTATTTATTTTTTAATACCAAATGTGTCTGGTGTGAGTCTTTCTGCTGACAGCAGCTGTGGCAGCATGGGATGAGGAGATGCATAATCTCTCAGATAGGCAAGACCCATATAATTTAGATTTCTACAGGTGAAGAACAGCATCATAATTTCTTCCCAGAGATTGATAAGACCCCTGCGCAGGTGTCTGAGCTCTGCTGTCATACTTGGAGCAAGATATGCTATTTGATAAATGAGCTGCCACAGCCAAGCCAGCTGCTTGTACTGAATTATCTAAGGGATGCTATCATGTGGAGCACATTGTCTTGTGCCAGTAAAGGTTTTACGGATGCTATTAATGATCTATTTCCTATATTTTGAGTAGGGTGAAGCTGACAATACCAGCTACCCCTGTCTTTCCTCACCCTTCCTGTTAAAGTTGTTAAAGGGTTTTTCAGTTATATTAGATTTCATGCCTTTGAAGCTATGTCATTTCTTGAACTTTAAAATTTGTAGAGAAGAATATTTTTTCATCAATAGAATACCTTTGGACACAGTTGGGCTTTAACTCACATTTGGCTTTGAATTTGAACTTTTAGGTTCTTGTAGGATGTGCTTTCCTGAAGTATGAATTGATTCTGAAGCACCTCCATCTACTTGTTTTCTTACAGCTGTGTAATTCAAAATGTGGCCATGTTTTGATGGTATAGTGATCTGTATTTACAGATCTCACTGGTAGCATGGAGATCTGGAACAAAATTCCAAGTGTTCTGAATTTGGTAGAACTCTGTTAGCTTGAAGTAGATGTATGAGTTCTTTAATAAAAATGTTAGACTTAAATATCTGAGAACTGCCAGCTCACAGCAGCAGCTCTCAGTTTGCTGCCTCCTAGGAAGCAGGTAGAATGAGCAAATGCCAAATGGAGAAAGTGGGAGATGCGAGTCCTCAGCTCTATTAACATTTCAACATTTAAGTGACCTCAGGCAGGTAGTTCTTATTTCCACACCAATTAGTGTGTCTGAGAGTTTAGAGTTTTAATGTGCCCCATAAAGCTTCTAATCTAAATCTATGCTGAAACACTGCTTGCTTTGTTTAAAACAAATCTTTCTTGCAAGCAATAGTCCAATTTGGTACTGATTAATTGTCATAGCCCTAGATTGTCTCTGAATATATAGTTAAAATCATAAGGAAGTGTGTGTGTGTGTGTGTGTATATATATATATTCCATACATATATGTTTGTGTGTATATATAAAGAAATACCCACAAGTTCATACAAAGTATTTTTCAAAGATTATTGATAAGTGTACAGGAAATAGCACAAACAAAAAATCCTGCCCTTAAGAAAAGCTATCAGATTCAATTTGAATATGCATAACAAGACCTCTGTATTTTCTTTAAAGCATTTTGTGATTGCTTTATTAAACTACAGTTAGTGATAAACTGTTCTGTGCAAACATACCTGATCAGTGTAAGAACAGGTGAGCATGCAGCTTTGCAGTCAAATGTAGGGAGGACCTCGTTTGCTAGTTTTGATTCAATTCCTCATTTCACTTTAGTTCCTAAGCTTTAACAAGGCTTAAAATATAACTGAAATTCTGTAATGTGTGTAGACATTTTGCTTTTATAAAACCAGTTGAGAGGCTTATTCTGTAACCTTAGAAAACATGTAAAACTTTCATAAGCTTATAAATGTGTATAAGTTTATTTATCTTTCATAAGTTTTCTGCTATTTTTAATAACCCAAATCTGTCACATACATTGTTGGCTAAAAACATGCCATATGTACCAAGTAGTCAAAACACGGAGACCGTTTACAACCTTCATGTAGACTGCAACAGGCATAACCAAAAAATGTATTTGAGAAGTTAAATTCCTTTTTTTGGTGAAGGTTGGATGTGGCATGAAAGATATTCAGCAGCCATGGTGAGGTATTAGTTATTGAATCCACAAGAGACTAGAAAAGCTTTGATAACATTTATAAGTTTACACACAGCAATGCAATTTCCAAGTCATTTCCTGAATTCAGTTAAAAATTTGGGATTGAGAGCAGTAGTATATTCCAATAGGTTTTGTGTAAAACAGAATAAAATGATATATTAAGTTATATTAATTAAGGGAGAACACTGAAGTAAAATATAAAACATTAGCACTGTGCCCAATTAAATGAATAACTGTCACAGTAAATGTATGTAATATTTGATCATTTAAATTTAAATTCAAATTTAAGATCTGTCTTTTCGGTGCGATGATCAGAGATGCTTGTAAAATGCAAGTTGAAAATAGTGGTCTGTGTGATGGTACTATTACCCTCCTATAATAGACTATAATTCTCAGCAGCAGTACCCTGGATATTCAAGCGAAAACTTTTCTTTGTTTTTAGCTTCTAGTTCATAGTGCTGTCTTAAGTAACATTAGATATTGTTAATATTTTCTTATATATCTCACAAGAAAATGCACATTTTTAGTCATCCATTGTTTTAATTGCGAGTGCCACGTTGTAAGAACCTTGCAGATATGTTACTGGATATACACACTTAACAAAACTTGTTCACCAAGCAACAAATACTCTTTATTAAATCCCCTTCCTTAGATATTCAACTCTATAATGATGTTCCTTCCATATTTCATGTAAGCTAACCTATACATGCAGTTGTAAATTCTTGTTAAAAGATGATTTTTCTGAAAGCCTTAAGGACTAATGGCATTCCCTAACTATCCCTTGCAAAGGCTGCAGAGAGGTTTCATTCCAAACATGTCCAAAATCCAAGTTTTCAAAAGACATCAAACATTTAATCAAAAGTTACTTTCTACCCACATTCTACACAAATGCAGTGGAGAGATCGGAGATATATCAGATCAAATCTATACATGTACTCCATGTGCTTAACTAGAATCTTACTAGTGTGGTATTAATCCCTTAAGTTGTTTTATTATAGCTACTACCACCGATACAAAGTTTGCTTAGTTTCTGGTGTATTTCTTGTTTAGCATCTACAAATAACACTTCATTTTGTTGTTTTGTGTTTCACAGAGTTTTAGGATCAGTACTGTTGATCCTGTTGGTAGGAACCTGAATGCTGGAGGTGATGGTTCCAGAGCTTAGCAACTAAATAGGTAGTAGTGATTCAGATCCCTGTCCCTTAGACTGCTGTACTTTCATTTATACTTACATAGTGTGGACTTGACATATACTGAAAGAGGTCTTCCTTGATGGCCTTTAGCTAATAAATTGGAACCTACTTTCACAGTCAGCAGGGGAATCCCTCATTCTAAATATCAGTCTTTGGTGTAAGAGCCGTATTTCTTATTAATTTGTCTAAACTCTGAAATCATATAATCCCATTACTGACTGGGCTCGAGTCCTGACAGTGTAATTATAGATCACTATGCATAATAAAAATATGAAAATATAGTTAATGTGGTAACACACTTCATCTTAATTTAAATCAAACTAGCAGTGACCTTCTCAGTAGGTGAATTATTGCAGACATTAAAAGGTGGAACCAACTGCTTTCATTTGTGACATGCAGATTGAAGACTGTAGAAGTAGTTATACTGAATTTCACACAGATTGGAATGTATCTACACAATGCTCAAAGAATGAAAATTGGAAAGCCAACAACCAAGAATCCAGAGGCCACCACATTTACTATTCAGTCCTTTTCATTTTATCCGGTAAAGAAATGTTTCTTGTCCTTACAAGAATTCTTTGCATAAAGTAGAAGAAATTTTTTCAGAAGAAAAAAAAATTCACCTCGTATGAGCTGTCTGCTGTATAAATGCTGTCTGCTGTGTAAATTCCATCTGCTTTAGCATAGAATTGTGACTTAAAATATGAACACAGACTCTTCTTAATGTATATCCTGTGAGCATACCAGTCTTGCACAGGACTGTAGTCGTTTTCTTCTGCAAGAGTTTGTGTCTCCCAGACTTTTTCTGAAGAGGAGTGCTGAGTAAGGTCTAGTCTACATAGCGGTAATCGGAGAAATTAATGCACTTACTTTATCACCTGGATTAGTTAAACAACGCTAATTTGGGAGTAGATTCTCATTCAGATTCAAAGTAGCCTTCATGTTCAGTTGAGTTTGTTTAACTTTCAAAATAAATTAAAGCAAATTGAATTAAAACTACTTCCATTCTGCAAAGGAGCTATGTATTGGTCTGGTACAGTTTTACTAATTTACACTGAATTCACAACTTAGATTCAGATTTAGTGTGCCTTAAAGGCATAAGCATACAAGCAGGAGTGGGCTAGGGAAATTTCACTAGCTGTTGATAAACACTGAAGAACCCACCATGGATAGATGTTAAGTGAAAGTTTAGCTTCCTCTCCAAAAGCATGGGCAAATAATTCTTTTTTTTTCTTTCTCCTTCCCTTTCTGAGACATCTGTAGTGATCAAAACACTTCTATGAAAAGTAACATGTGTATCAGGTACAGCATACTCAAATTTGTCTGGTATAGCTTCACTTAGCAGGTGCTTTAATGATTTAAGTCTTGGCATAGGTAAGGCAGGGTGGGTAAAGAGAGGGGACATATATTTGAGACAAATTATCTGGGGTAATAATGGTGAGCAAGAAATGAGAAAACTGGAATTATCAGTACTGCTGCTGAATGGGAAGAATTCAGTATCATTTAGGAGCACTACATGGTTAGTGTATTTTGGTGACTTGGTTGCTTTTGGGAAAAACACTCAAAATGGTTTTGGTACTTCTTTGAGCAGAGCCAAATAGCTCCTACTTGGTATTCTTCCCATCACTAAATAGTAGAAATAATAGTAGAAATAATTCTATTAATTCTAATAATTCTATTTAAGAGGAAAAGATGTGCCTGAAGGTTATTTGTGTTCTTGAATGTAATTGACTGTGAGTGTTTGATAACACAAGATTAACACAAGATATGGTTGATATATCTGAGGATATTCTCTAATCAGCCAGTCTGGATTTTTCAGCTGTGTGAGCTGCTTGGGAGGATATCATTACTCTAACTAGGTGTTTGCAGTGTGCTGGTTTATCCTGCTTGATGAACAGTTGCAGAAATCTCTGAGATGGGTGGGAAGAATGTTTTATACAGGATAATGGTCAGTAGAATGTCTGGAAAGGAGTAGTAATACAGCTGAGAGGTAGCAGGTGTGAAGAACAGCTTTTCTAAAACATAGTCAGAGCTCGGCAGATGCAGTTGTCAATTTTTTATATTTTCTCATCAAAATGCTGTGATTTGGTAAAGGATTAGCTATGGCTCTTGGACCATATTTGTACTGTAAAACAGAAAACAAGCTAGTTGCAAGCTACCTGTGCAATTTGCATAGCACTTCCAAGCCTGGAATATCCTCCAAAAAGTGGATACTTTCACTTCATCTTTTGTACATGAAGAAAGGCAAATACTTTGTAGCCTTTTTGTTAGGGAAATGCGCTAGCTATTACCATGAATATATGTGTTCATTGGTATGACTGCACTCATACAAATCCTGCCTACAGACAGCTGGGCTCTAAATTGCGGAGGTCCAGCATATCCTTGTTTAAATATGGGAAAAGCAAGAGTGGTGAAAAATCAGCTTAGCTTGGTGTATCCTGCTAGGGGGGAACTGGCTGACTTCCATGACCTCATTGGTCACAGAAACTTTGGTCAAAAGGCCCATATATTTTCCAGCTTCAACAAGACTAGGCATATGAGAACAGCTTACTCATACAGCTAAAGACTGCTGGATCAGAACTTTAAAGGGAATCTCTTCATTAGAGGGGAAAACATTTATTAAAGGAAATTTTGGCAGAATTTCATACAATGCCCTTAACGTGACTGCAAATGCCGTTTGTATCTCTAATATACTTGAAATCACTGCATTGCAATGTTTTATTGTTCTATGATGATTAATACCTTCATTCTGTATTATTTATTTCAGATTACCAGAATAACACTGATGTTAACTCGTCCAATATGAGAAGAGCTTCAGAAGAAACTGATCTTTTTTTGGAAACGGAGCATGTTTCTGAAACATTAGAAACTAACCAGCAATCAGCACTGGTGCTACCAGCTAAGATATCATGTGAAGTAAGACTTTGAGATGCTAAAATCTTTGGGATAGCTGTGTTCTTCTACTCTCCATGTTGTAATCTCATTTGCGCTCTGTCAATTTGGAGAACAAATCACAAATGAGGAGCCAAAATGAGAGTGCACCTAGCCTGCAGTCGTATTTGTTTTGCCTTTTTGTCACATCCACACTGCAGCCCAAAAGGTTTTGGGTAAAAAACATTTAAAAGAGTCTCTGAAAAAAGGTTTTTTCTCTATTTAATTTTTTTTTGGCAGTTTGAGTGGAGATATTGCTGTCATCAGGAACTACTTGTTTAGAAGGGCAAATGAAGGCAGAGACTTCTCAAGAGATGTGAGATAGGGAAGAATCGATGTATTGGTACTTGCTTGTGTGAGTTAGGAAGCTCCTATGTGTATGCATCTTGCCTAATTTTAAATTGAAATCTGAAATAGTCTTATGTTCATATCTACGTGCATTTCCTACAAATGTTTATATTTCCTACAGATGTTTATGTGCAATTGGTTTTAATTCGGCTTGTTCTATGAAAGCATGTAACAATGTAAGCCGAAAATGTGTGATATGCAGTGCTACCTTCCTTCGCACATATCGTGAACAGTCAGATATGAAGGTTGCGGTGTACATGGAGTGTCACCTATTTGTCAGTAGACCATTCCATATGTTAGGCCTTGGTAATGTATCATGTCTTTCATTCTTCAACTGGTGATCTATTTTGACCTGTTTTGCTCTCTTACAATACAGGTTATCTTCTCTAACCTGGGGGCTTTCAAAGAGAATCGCAAATGGATATCTTTAAAACAAATGTAATCTTGAAAAATGCTATTATCTTGTCTAGAAATCTGTATTATGGAAAGTGAAATAGTATTATAAATGATAATGTCTTGCTAGAGATTTTACACATGGATTAAATCTCTTCCGTGTTCATCAAAGTTTAGAATTTTTGTGATGGTGTAAGTGTATATCTTTTCCACTGAAAATTGATAGCAGTGCCACAAAGCAACAGTCTAAAGATAAACAGAACAAAATTGTAGGTCAGTATGTCAATGTAAATCTGTAATTTAAACCACTGTGACTTGATACAGAAGTGTGAAACTTTTTTGTTTTTTTTTTTAAATGCAGACCCAAGAGAAGTGCTTGCTAATTCTTTTTCTGCTTCAGTCTCCCTAAGACTGGGTAATTTGCACTTCAAAATTTCAAAATTTGATTTCTACCTCTAAAAGATGATTTTATAATGAGAGATGTTTTTATAAAATGTTTTTTAAAGATAACTTATTCTCATTATTTCACTGTTGAGCTTGGAAAGTTCTAAGAGAGTATAATTCTCTGGTTCAGTAGGCAGTAGAGGGCTATTTCTCAATTTATTCACTGTTTCTGTGTGACTTTACTGTTAATTCACTCTAAAATTTAAATCTGCAGTATCTTAGATTCTTATTATCTTGAATCATCTAGATTATATAATGGGTTTAGAAACAGTAATAATACATCTACATGCTGTTTTAAAAGATGATTAAGCTGAATTCAAAATGCTACGTATTATAGTATGTTTTATATGAGGGTATTGTTAAAAGAACTTTCTCTTCCATTTAGGCTTTAATTTACATTTTACACTTTCAGTATTATTGGGTGAAGGACTAATGGGAACATACTTTTGAATTTTGTAGAACCCTGGTGAAATATTTATTTTATTGAAAGATGAAGTTGATGATGAAACCTTAGAAATTGAATTCATAGCAGACAATCAACGAATTAGGACACATCCAGCCTCTTGGAATCAGAAGGTCAAGTTTGTGAAAGCCTTAGGTAAGAGACAATTTGTTTATCTTTAAGTAAACAGGACATTTTAGTCTCCCTTGGCTTTTTCTGCTAACTAGTTTCACTTCCCACAGTAGATTCTAGGTGTTTCCTGTACATGGGTTTTGCATAAAGAACACTTACTCTTAATGCAGAGAGCGATTTATGGGAAACTAAGTTCTATTAGATTGTTTTTGTGTGGTTAAATGGGAAATGGCAGTCTTAAGATGTCGTTGATTAATCACAGATTAGCATTCTTCAAAATTACTGCCATAAAATGCAGAGCTAATATTCTTTTCTTATTACTGTCTTGCTAGGTAATGCAAGATAATTCTTACTGACACAGGAAAAAACTTATTTCCTGGCTTATTTTTTTCATGTCCGTACCATTTCTCTGTATTACTGAGCTGTACCATTTTAGCCCTACTCCTTTATCTATGGTTTTGGCTTCCTTATTTTCCAATTTTGCTTGGAAGGCGATTAAGCCAAAAAAAAAAAAAAAGACACTGCATTTTGGAGTTCTAGAACACAGTTTTAAGGGCCACACAAATCCTCATACACTTGATTAGAATTAGCAATTAAATCATGTTCCATCTAAGCATTTAGACTTTGACTTGCCACCCCATTGAATGATATGGATTCCAAAAAGTACTTACCTAATACTTTATTTTGAACTATTGTAATAGAATATGAGATGGGGGAAAAAATGCACACTACAATATTGAACTAGGGCTTCTTGGAGCTACCTTTGGGTGGCTAATTGTCTGACCTGATTTTTATCCTGAATGCTGTCCATGCATCCTGAGATCGGTTTCATAATATGTAGTTTGGCCTTTTTACATTTTCAGGATTGCCCACTTGAATTGCATAGGGTTTTGTTTGTTTGCTTTTTGTGGAAAGAATTGGATTTTTTTTTTTTAAACTGCTAGTGCTGGTGCTATAGCAGGATTCTTGGCACAATGAATACTAATGAATTATAAAATATGCTCATAAAGAGAGCTCATGCTGCATGCTCAGAGGAAGTCAAAGTAACAGACTGTACTCTTTCCTTAGCTTTTACTAGGTAAACAACTGGAATGGAAGCAATTATACTGCAGTCTAGTTCAAATCGAATTTTGAGAACCTTGCCTATGATGAAGAAAATATTTCAAAAAGAAAAGGAAAATAGCAATTCAGCAGTTTTAAACAAATGAACTTTTCCATAGATTATAGGAGCTGATAATAGGTCATCCGTCAATCAAATGGATGTTTGAAACATGAAGCATGCATACTGTTTTCTTTGCTTTTCTAACTTTAAACAATATTATGACTTTGTTTTGTAAGGATTTACAGAGTTATATTCTCTGATGTCAGTTTTTAAATGTTAGACTGAAAGACCTGGATAAAAAACTGACTACACCGAATCATGCTTGAAGCACAAATCCTGTTCATTCCCACTTTGTATTTTCTATGATATTTTCCTCTGCTCTTTTACTTATTCTCTGAGACCTCTAATCTGTGATTGTAAAATATTTTCGAATATTGTTCTGTTTTTGTTTTTGTTTTTTTTTGGTTTTTTTTGTTTTTTTTTATAAGATTTTCCTGCTGGCCCTGTATATGTAAATGTCTACTGCGGGGGAGTTATTAAGGCCACAGCGCAGATTGAATACTATACTGAACTAGGGGAGATTGAGAACATTCTCCAAAAAGTGGCTGACCCAATAGCTTTTGCTTGTCAGGTAAGTTGACCTCTGTTGTATATTAATAAGGAAGGAGGCATGTAAGTGCCAATATAAGTTAAGGAAACACGCACCATGCTGTAAAGGCTGTATTTTGATTATGTAGTAATGAATAATGGCTCAGCAGCAGGCTCAGGATTAGAGGCCTGTCTTTGAGATGTCTAGTTGTAAGCAATCAGACAAGTGAAACCAAATTCTCTCTTTGTTGTTGTTGTTGCTTATAAGACAGTGACATAAATATTCTTGCTGTTGTGTATGCCCAAAGGACAGCATCCTGCATTACCCGGGATGAAAATAATAACAGATGGTGCTATTTAAAACTGTCTTCCTATCCCATCAAAAATGTTCTTTTGTGTGTGTTATAAAACTAATAACAACAAATAATTTTAAATCACATTGTATTTGGAAGATAATTATTAATTCATCAATAAACAGGATTTTTCTGGCATAATTTATATGGAAGACATATAAATTGCTATTCATATAGAGTCTGTATACAGCTGCTGAATTATCATTCATGTGGTTTGCTGGTTGCCATGCAGATTCTTTGCATATATTTAGAAGAATTCAGGTTTTGAAGCTGGGCTTCAAATCGGTGCAGCACACTGCAATGCTCTGCAGTATCTCCCTTGCTAATAGCACATGCAAAACAATAAAAGAGAGCATACACTAAGAAAGGATGAAATCTGATGTATCTTTTGTTCAATGGTGAGTAGTCCAAGCAGACTTGTCACGATGTCTATCTTGAAATTTCAAATCCAAAACAAAAATAATAGCCTGTTTCCAATGCAGACAGTCTCATTTTCTTGTAACAAATCTAACTTATCTAGCACCTAAGGCATTAGGCAAATTACACTCATAACGAAAGGATTAATAAAAAATGATGTATTGCATTATTATTGTTCTATTAAGAATAGGGGTAGATTCCTTCCAACTACAATTCACTTCTAAGAAAACAGGCTTGTTACACAATGAAAGTAGTGTAGCACTAAGTACAAGCGCACTATTAAAGTCTCTGTAATAGCTATCATTCTTTAAACTGTAGATTAAAATACATTGAAATCGAGCTTTCTATAGGTGAGATTTAAAATTATATGCTTAAGAAGTGTGTCCTAATGATTTAAATATACTTAACATGGTAACCTAGATACACTGGAGACTTATTTGTGTTGCTCAGGCATGCCTGAGCAATCTCAGGAGTTTGACCCTTCATTTAACCAGCATGGCTAATATTTAGTAAGATGCATGCAATTCAAATTATATTCAAATGTAGAAATAATTTTATGCAGAGCAGTAGTGTACACCAGGGAATACAGCTGCAGTGTTAGGACTGTTAGTTTAATAATTAGGTCTTTTTTCTCATCTGTATTATAAGCAGGGGTTTAAATGAAGACACAATCTATGCTTCGCTCTTGATTTTACTTGTGTTGGCAACTTAAAAATTAACGCCAAGAAAATTTTTATTATCAAATAAATGATGCAGTTCAGCCAACATCAGGGCTTTTCTGTGGAGGAGTATATTAGTAGTAATTTGTTTACATGTTTGTGTATGTGCTGGAAGATTTCTCATTGTATTTAATTGTACGCACTGGGTCATGGAGTGAGGCAGATGCGCTAGGTAGGTAGCTGAGTTATTTTTTTCGAACTTGTGAAGTCTTTTGAATGCTCTTCTAAATACAATTTACTGGCAATAAGATGGCAATTTACAAAACATGATTTAACTTACTTTTAAGAAATGTACGCATGCAAGGAAAAAAAGATAGCCTTTGCCTAATTAGAATTCCCATCAAGTAGCAGGAGTAGTAGTAACTTTCATTTAACTGGGGTAATTAAAACCTTTGAGACTATCAGCTTGCTTGCAAGAGTATCCTGGGGCAGCAGTGGTTTATCAATGCCTAGTAACATTCAAACACAATGGAAAACAAAGTAAAAATAAAGTAGAAAAACCTACAGCAACTATTGATCAAAGCAGTAACACTCTGTGATTCAAAGAAAAGTTCAAGATTTTCACACGTTTGCAATCTGAGGAGTATCTTATTATTAAAACTGAAAGACCTTTACAGTATGGTATATTGCTAGGTTTTTTCGGTTACTTTGAAATGATGTCAGCATTGAGATTATTGTTCTCTTCTGTTCTTCCTATCCAGCAAGTAAGCCCAAGAAACAAAATCACCCTAGTGACTAGGCTTACAGCCATTTGTTCCTTTTACTGAAAGCCAGGTCACAGGGGACTTGCAAAGTACAGTTCTGTTGTACCTCTTCATTGATAATTTTAGACAGGAATTGAAGATAAACACCAGCTAAATTGTTAGATAAGACCTATTTTAGCGTGAAGATTATTACAAATCATGTTTTTGGATGAAATTCTTTGCTGTATGTGACATTTTATTTCTATTTTTCATATTTATCTGAATTTACAAAAGTGTTGAGCAACACTAGCAAAACATTTCTAACAACCCAATAGATAAAAAATGAAACAATATGAAATTTTATTTTAAGGAAGCTTTTTTATATTAAATCAGTGTCAAAATAGTAACTAAATCATTGTGCTAAATGAACTTGATATTAGAACATATATAATAGGCCATAGGCTAATGGTCATGGTTTTTTGTTCTCTCATTTGTGTATAGTTTTGCATTAAAGAAACTGTCTTAGGGATTTTGTGTGCTCATAGTAAACCTATGTACAAATCTGATCATAACATTCTTGCAATTTATAATTAAATTTTTTCATATTTCTTTCTTTTCATCAAATTGTTATTTTAGCATTCTGGAGGATTTATAATGCTGTATTGATTTTACTCTCTTTCTACGAAGTGCAAATATTGATTAAAATACTTAGTGCTTAGGTTTTCTCGGTACAAATTTCTTAGTTTTTTTGAAAAAAAGATGGCACCAAGGTCATATCTTTATTATTGAAATTGAGAGATTCATGTTAATTTAAGTAACTTAGTCAACTTAAGAAATCTTTATGACAGGCTTGGTGAATAATACTGCTATGATTGAGAGATTTGATCCATGAGGGAATGCTTTTATCATTGCTATGAAATAAGATTCTAGTTAGAATATATATGAAAAGCAAGAAGAATGAGAATCAAGTGCAGTCTTTTCAATGAAAATTTGCAAGAAATAACTATATGTCCTATGTAGTGATAGTATGTATATGCCTTAACTCCATCCCCTAATATATTTTCTATGTAACTACTTTTAATAGTTTTCAACTTTCTAAGTCATGTCAGCAACTGTTATTTTAAAATGTTTCTGTCTTCCTAGCCAAACATGAAATTTTTATGTGTTTTATCAGTGGGTAAAATTGTGATTTTTAAGCCTAGCCCTCTTCTTTGACAGAGGTAGTCTAGGTATTTAGGTGCATATGAAGCATTGTCTGGTATTTAAGAACTACTGGAGTAGTTCATCTTTTTGTAAACGTGAAAGCATATGTTACTTTCCTGGCTGTACGTGCCATGTTTTACTGGCACACATTTTCAGGGTTTTGTTAACAGTTAATACATTATGATTCACAGAAGAATCAAAACATGTGCTTCATCTTTTCCTTTTTTTTAAGGATGTTTCAGAAGCCCAGCCAGGTGTGGTGGACATCACTCGGAGCCCTTCTGTGATTCACAGCTGCTTCCTATCGCTCTGGAAGGCAGCAGGGGGTAGATGGAGAGAGTGCTGTCACCTGGGGAGGCCTTGAGCCGGGAGAAGCTTCTGGAGGCTGGACTTGAGGCTTGTAGTAGCTCCTGCAGAAGGGCTAGGACTGAAGGGAGGAGCAGGGAGCAGCCATATGAGCTTTAGAGGGCTTGGGGAGAGCTGCTTGGAAACCTGACTCCTGGAAAGAGCTTGCATATGAGGAGCAAATAGTGCTTTTACTTCTTTTCTTACCTGTCTTAAATTCTTAATTCTTTATTCAGGTAAAAGGTGGGTTGTCTTGAAGCTCGGGATTTTGTTAAAAAGTGTGCAGTCCTGTTTTTGTTGGCTTTAGAGAGGCTTTAGCAGGAGCTTTAGGTGAATAATGTTGGTGGCATTTCTTGCCTGGGTGGGATATATCAAAATATGCAAATATAGTGTATCTGGAGTCCGTAAGTGCTCTTACTCCAGCAGGAGTGGGTAGTAGAGTATAAATAAATCCCTATCATGATTTCCAAAGTGTGGGAAATGACTTTTATGTTGGTATGGAGCTTTCAGCTTCTAGCTGGATAGCACAGAACAGCCCTATTGCTAGTTCTTCTTCACTGCTGTTTCTGCTATTATCTTCACATAACTAATGGAACAAAAATCAACATTGGTTTTAGGTCCTCCTTTATGTGACATGAAAGGTGTTACTATATTTTTTTTTTCCTATGTATGTACTCAAACTAGTGTTTCTGGCAGGGCTGTAGATTTACAGAGCCAAGTTAGTTGTTAATGGTTGGTTAACAAGATGGCTTGTTAAATCATGGCTTGAGTCTTTAGACTGTAGATATCTGGAGGAGGAGACAAAATATGAGGGAAAAACATAAAATTACGTTATGAAAACCATGCACAAGAGATATTATTCCTAACTCTGGTATTAAATGAATGGAGAAGCAGGTCAGTGGAAGGCAGACCGTTTGAAACGGCAAAATTTTCCACGCTTTATCTCCTTTTTTTTTAAAAGCAGGATAGTCTAATGCCTGCCTTGGCAGCTTGTATGAGCTAGGACAACTTGATGTGAAGGGGATTAAGCTATGCAAAGTTTCATGGCCTTAAGCACTTTGCTGCAAATTCCTTAAATTGTGCACCCTCTTCGGCATGGGAAATTGATTCATTTGAAACTGAGAAACATTGCTTAGTTGTCTGAGTGCAATGAAAGAGCTGCATATTCTTAAGCTATTTCTCCTTTAGATTTTCTACTTAAAAATGGGTTGATCACAATTTACTAAATACATATGTTTTAATGTTTCCTCAGTAGTCATCTCTATCCTTTTCTCCTCACTATGTCTTTCACAGACTTTTTTTTTCCCCAGGTCAATATATAAAATCTAAAAGTCAATATAGTTTTGTATATATCCCTGTTAGCTGTTTAAGAGCTATTCCAGCAAGTATGGGATGGCACATTTTAGTGAGAACTCGCTTGCTGTGGCTCAGCTGTTTTTGGTGCCCAAACCATTCTACCTGCAGGCTGTGCAGCAAAGACTGGGCCAGCCTTGTAGTACTCAGTGTTAAAATATCTTCAGTGTTCAAATCCCTGTAGACATACTTCCCTTGTCACACCAAGAAAAGAAGCGCTTAGTTATGGCTGCCTTGAGATTCATTAGGAAAAGATCTTAGCTTTCTGTCCAGACAGAATTAGGCAATCAAAAAATTTATTTTACTGCAGGCAGTAGAGATTTCCCATGTCTAAAAATTTGTTTTTAGTAGGGAAGCTCATCCAGCTGGTTGCATGTTGTCCATTTCTTAATCTGTCAGTTGATGTTAGACTATAGCTTGTGGAACTGAGCAGTGTACAACCTTATTGTAAAGGTTTCAGTTAACAGGGAGCTACTAAGGTCTTTAAGATCATCCCAGATTACTGCTGTAATGACTATACTATCTGTTTCTCTTCAACTGCGTCTTAGTGTAATGATCCTCCTTCTATAAGACTACTTGTATCATATTACTACTTTTTTATGACTTTCAAAAACATGGTGAATCCTACTAACAGTGAGTTTGTATTCATTTCATTTGAATAATTTGATTTACTAGAACAAGCTTATAATTGATTCATTAGAATAAACTTAAACACATGTGTACCAAATGTGTCCCCTCTCTCTCTCGCAACAGGCTTTTGAATTCTCTTCTATAGAGAAGCTGGACAATGTTTTGACTTTGCTACTGAAAATCAAGATGTCTGCTTATGAATTCAGCACATTCCAAAGTGAAGAGCACCATCAACAAGCCAGTGAGTACTTTCTCATGTGCATTTATTAATAAGATAAACTTACAATATTTAAATTAAGGCAATTAGTGAAATGTGGAAATACACAGTAAAGACACCATAGTGAGGAAAAAAATAGAAAAAAAAATCCTTCATGAATTAGTGCTAAGCAGAACTAAGAACTAGGCACTAAGAGCTAGTGTTTAGTTTTAGATTAATTGCAAAATGACAGCTTTTCACCTGTCTAATTAATTTACTCCAGTGCATGTACACAAATGGGAGAGAGAAAATTTGGTCATTACTTTCTCTTAATCGTTTCTTGCTTAATCACAGTCATGTCTACTTTCATTTTGAGTAGTGCTTCTCTGATGAACTTCACTGCTTTGGACTAGACAAATATGATTTAAATTCTCATCAAGTTTGTGAATGAAGTTAAATATGACTCTATGTTGGTGGAAACAAACCATTAGCACATTAAGCAAGATACTTGTCCCTGCCAGGTTGCTATGCAAGACTGACAGATGGGGCGTATACAATGGTACAGCCTCATTCCTAATATAAGAAATTAGTTCTTATGAGCAAAAGATTTTTCACTTTTCTAATAGCTACTTGGATCTGGGCACGTTATTCCGATAGTGGGAATAACTTTTACCTCTCCCCAACCCCTCCTGGAGAGGGCTGTGCAGTTCAAGAGTGAGTTGGCTGTTGGCAAGCTGGAGTCAAGTGGTTTTAACCTTCCCAAAATGAACTGCTTCAATGTAACCTGAAGGAAGAAAGTATGAAGTCAGATGTTGCAGATCTTCAGGATGTGATTGCAGAGTTGAAAGTATGGGGATGTGACTGTGGGATGCCCAGGTGCTTAGCCACCTTTTGCCTAAAGGATAGGTTAAACCCATATCTTTGGGATGTTTTTATGGGATGCCAAACTGACACTAGAATGTAAGTTTTATTCTAGGACTAGCATCTCTCTCTTCCCCCCACCCCTCCGCAAGATTTTGTTTTGTATTGTTGCATTCTAAGCACTCTGTTGTTGTTGTTGAAGAGAAAATGTTGAAAAATGAAAACTGATTAAATAGTTTTAGAGGGATAAAACTATGACAGAAGTTGCTCCATGAGAGCAACTATGAGAGAAAAAGCTATCCAACAATGAGATTAACTATTTTTGTATCTTTCAAATGGCAGATGAATCGGCCCTGATTTCATAATTCCTGTACTTCGTGATTTATCCCTAGTGGTCAAAATAGGCCTACTTATGCCAGAATTCCCATTATCTGATTCTAAGAGGGATAGGTGGCACTCTGCACTGTAACGTGCTTGGGTGAAATAGAGGCACATTGGTGTATTAACGTGTAAATTAATACTGATAGCAGTAGTTTGATTTTTCAGTGACTACCCAGATCACCCAGATGTGATTTTTCTGAGATTCTTGTTGATTTCTGAATTTTGCTTGTAAAGATTTAAAAGCCCCTTCAACGCTCTACAGAGGGCTTCTGATGAGACTTAGTATCAAACAGTTACTTCATAAAACTTTGAAATATGTACTTTTTTTTTCCCCAAAGCTGGAGCCTTTCGTGCATTGAGCACTCAGTGAACTGTGATTAATCGTGGGGCTTTTCCAGCCTGTATGTGATACCTCTAGCTTTTTTCCAGCGAAAGTAGATGCAATCACTTAAATCTGTTCTATCTTTTAGCTTGAAAGATTTTTAAGCACATCCTCCTGAAATTGTTTCAGTGCTGTAGTCACTGGCATAACTGCAGAGGGCCTATCCTGTAGATTTATTTTAATGTTATGGCTGGTACATCAGGATGCAGCTGATAAATTGCTATATTTTTGACTCCTAAATATGAAGTCAAAATGAACAAATAATTAAGAACTTAATTTTATTGATTATTTTCAAAATTGCATGGTTTGACTTTATAATATGAAGTATGTGATTGATTATAAAATTAAGACTGTGAAACCAAATATAAAATCTAATAGGAAAAATGCAAATACATCCTTTTGTGATGCTTTGCACAGATGGTGGCTTATACCAGGGAATCACCATATATATGTTTAGTTATGTAACTTTTTGAGATTTCTCTCTGCCCCGTTTCTTCTGGAATGGCTATTTAACTTTATTTTATTTTATTTATTTTATTTTTTTTTTATTCTTCCCCTCTCTAGTCCTTTCACATCATGAATGTGGGTACTTGTGAGAGGGTGGTGTGTAGGCTGGCAAAGCTAAGATGCATAGCAAAAGACCAACTCTGATATTGCTTAACTCTTAATGTATCTATTACAAGCATATTGGTCTGATTCCCTTACCTAAGGCTTCTTTTAGTTTACTCTTCAATATGCAATTTCAGATTGCCTTACAACTTATGTCTTAACTTGCTACTAAGAATCCCCACAGGAATTACAATATCATTATTTCAGGTGATGAAAACCAAAGTATATATGTGACATCACAAAAATGTATTATGTGACCATAATCTCTTTAGCAGAACAATTATGCCTGTATATAACACGAGGTACAATAGTTTAATAATTTCTTTCTTTTGCAAAAGATGCAATGGGTCACAACTATGTAGCTTGGAAGCCTAAGTTTTTGGCCAACTACACAATGAGAATTGTGTGAGCAACAGATGAAACTTTGTGAAGTTTCTCACTCGGCTCTAGCGCTGGCTGTAGTCCTGTGAGCACCTCTAACATATGTATAATAATCTTTCTGCGTGGGACTGCACTTGTTGGTCTACTTGAAGGAAGAAACATCTGTGCCTAAATGGAGGCAATAGTGATACTGTTTATCTATAGTTCTTGTTTGATCTCTTTTATACTTTGACAGTATTGCTACAATAAAATTGATAGAGCATTAGACATGATAAAAATAAAAATTTCACACTGATTTTTACAAACCATGGTTTTTGATGACAACCACACATTAATATATTTTGCTGCGCTTAAGATTAGCTTATTGCACTAACTGAAAAGTGAATCGTGTCTCTATCAGTATTGCCAAAATTGCTGTATTTATAAAGTTTGCAGTAATTAAGTGCCTATTTCAAGCTTGAACTGTGCCTCCTTTGTTTTAATTACTTTAGGTGTTCTTAAAACACATTAAAAAGAAGATCTAGGTATTTGAACATTGTCAAAATATGGTTATGCATGACTATTACCATGTGGCAGTATAGAGGCATTAAAATAGACTTTTATTCTGCTTATCAAGGGGAAAAATGTTTTAATGATGAGTGATATTTAAAAAGATTATTCTGCAGTCTCCAAAGAGGAATACAGGAAGCCCAATCAGTTGAGAGTGCTAAAAGCAGATTGAACAGAAGCCACTGAAAAAAAAAATGTGTTTAATTATATAGCACTCACTGAAAGAGAGCCAAGGCATGTCTGGGATTTTTAGTAGTGGTGGTAAGAACAATAAGATACTTTGTTCTCCATCCTTGTGGAAGAATGTAACTGAAGGAGGAGATACTGACCTGAATTTTGTACATTCTGTATTCAACTGCTTTCACTGTATGTATATTATTTCTGGTAGACACCAGTCAAAAAATTGTATCAAATCCTAGCTTTGGTGTTTAAAAACTTTATTTAGCTGTGCTTTTTGACCAGCTTAAAAAGCTCTGGCTCAGCTCCCGAGTCTTTGGCCCTGTGAATTCTTGGCTTTATGTTGATTTCTGTACAAGAGAAAATATTTGTTTGAGGAAAGCCTGTTAATTCTTCTGCTACTACACAACTTTCAAAAAAGGGAAAGCAACTATGAACACAAATATTGAGGCTTAATCCTCACCTGTTACATAAATAAATAAAATCTATATTTCTTTTTACATTACCCGTCATTGTTAACCACACTAGAAATCCTGATTTCCCTGATTGATTCTTTCAAACTGAAACACCGAACTCAAAGAAGGTAGCCTGGGCTTTCAGCTGCTACCCAAAACAGACTCGGGAGGGGGGGAAGATGGGATTTTAATCGTTTTCCTTTGGTTTAATTGGTATTGACAATATAGAAGTGATTTTAAATGCCTTTTAAATTACAAAGAAAGTGATGTCTTCTATCAATTATTTTGGAAATAAAAGTGTATCTTAACAAAACCTGCAGAAATATCAGACTGTAGGCTGCTCTGGTTGCTTACTAAAGTTTTTATGAAATTTCCTGCAGGCTAAGGCAGCACCACAGTACGGTAATATTAGATTTTATGCTTTCTTTTATGCCAAGTTCTTCCAGAATGCTCTACAGAAAACAGAGAGAAAGGATTATGACAGGCCAAAACTTATAAAACAACAGCTCCCACTTAACTTTGCATATGTCAACTAAAACTTGTAATTAAGAGGAAGCTCTGGGTTCAAAGTCAACTTCAAAGCTGAAGATGCCACGTTAGTGCCCTTCAGGTTACACCATTTAGTCACTTTTACCCTATCCTTCCCATTTATGATCCCTAGTTATCCAGTTCTCTGTGCACTTGTCTAACTGCAGCAGTTGATCCGATTGTTGGCTTGATGCTTTTCACAGTCTTCATTGAAGAACTGATACTGATTAAAAGGTTGTGTTTTTTTTCCCTTTTAGTTACCTCCAAAACTACTGTTTTTGTTCAGTTGTGAATATTTAACTTTATTGGTTATTCATGCTTCACAGTTGATAGATTCCAGTTATCTTCCACAATATGATGTGGCATAGTTGCAAGTTCAAGGATGGTTATTTTCTGCCTAAAACGTGTGCTTTCAAATAATTACAGCATCTTGCTAGCATATAAATTAAAAAGCTTAAGTTAAAGCAGTTAACCAGTGCATACTAAAAAAATTCTTTAGAGTAAAACATCTAATTTGTGCTAAGAACTTGCTGAATTTTGTGAATTGGCATTAGGTGAACAATTAGAATAAAAAAAAAGAGAAGGTAACCCCAACAGATCTTGACCTGAGTTGTTCTTACTTGGTTATTTTGACAATTGTATCCTTAGCTGTCATTGATTTACTGCAGAATCTGCAGGGAAGAGATGAGTGAGTTCTTCATCCCTGCCTTATGAGTTTACAG